GAATGGAGGTTGTGAGATTAGTTGAATCAGTTCAGTAAGTAGTAAATCCGGAGGCGTAGAAGCTACAAAGGACCGCGGGAAAATGGAAGGGAAAATGACAGTCTGGGATGCACAGAAATGTCATCCGGTGCTAGTAGTGACGGCGCCGAGCAGTGGTCTTCCTGCTCCACTTGTCGTTACCGCGGGCCGAACTCCGCGAATCTCCCAAACACAGGTCATGTATGGCAACATGTGAAATCTCGGCAAGAGTAGAATATTGTAAAGTAACTACAAAATGACTTGAATATTTTCTTCCGGTCATTGAACGTAGTGGCGGAGTCAACCAATGTAAAGTGTAGTAAAGGAGTTATTTTTCTTAACAAATATGTGAAAGGGGGAGAAGGTCGAATAACAGAAGTATAATTGTATGATGTTGTAGCAAAGGGAGAAAATAAAGTGACGTTTGTAGTGTATTACAAAATTTATAATTGTGGAGAAGGTGGGTATTGATAAACGCAGTGAGAAAGAGGAGGAGAGATTGAGTTCGAAACTTAAGCATTAGTCATTGAAAGATAAGTCGGAGAACGTTACTGATATATTCGCCATAGCTGGTCAGAGATTTTTGAGGGGAAAATGCAATTTGTAATTGTTAACAACGGCATGGAAATTGAATTTACTTCGAAGATCAGTGATGTGTAATTGTTATGTCGGAGGTTTCAGTTAATGTTGATAAACGAAAGTAGTACTGTTTTCTTTTGTTTAATGTGTATCGCTTTCAGATTCTTCTTCTACTTTACAATTGTATAAAATAACCACACGAAACAAGAAGATAACAATTCATAGTAAATTTAGTTTAAGGTTTCATTTGCTTGACAAAAAACTAGATCTTTAATTTTGAAGGTTTTCAATTTTGTAATTGTATAAATTCAAAACAATATGCCAAAATAAATATGTTGATTATTCGTATATAATTATATATGATTATTCGAGAAGTGAATAGTTATTTGGTTTACATAAAATAAAGGGAGTATGTTCGTGTGTTGTTTTGACAAACGTGTGTGTCCTAAGTCATTCGCTCGGACGTCCGAGTAGAACCAATCCCTGAGATCTGTGTAGGAAGTTCTATGTAGGAACGAACGCGGGGGTTACAATATATATATTGTTAGAGAGACGTAACCAATATTACGTTTTCCACCTCCATAGTAAACATAATTTTGGAGAGGGGTGTTTTGGTGTTTTTGATGTGCTAGAGGAGGTCTGGTGTTGTTTAAGTGGGTTATTCTCCAGGTCTTCCGTTTCGAAATCTTCCATGAACAAGTTCGCCACCACAAGAGACAGGAATGGGAACCTGTAGCCGCCCCTTCAACTTGGGCATAGAGTTGCTCATGGTACTGAAAGAAAGTGGACGTGAAGCAGAACTCGGCTAAGAAGGCCCATTCCGTAGTGAGCCCATGAGGGTAAACACACGCGTATTCACACGTTTCTGTGACGGAAATGGTCTCTCTACAATTTCTGAATATCGAAATTAATTTGCTAGTATAACTTGACATCTGATTTGAAGGGGGTATTGTGAAATCCGTTTCTTGGAAAAACAGGTAGGTATGCATCAGAACTGTGCAGTAAATAAAGCTCACCTGTCCAACCGAAAGAGACATCTCTTCCAGCAATCAACCTTCTGGACAGGGGCAGCGTACCGTTATGTTTGACAGAACCCATTTTGACCACCGATCAGAATTCCAAGAATATGCTACACAGCTGTCACCGGTGCGTCGAAACTTTTGGTGAACAGAGATCAGGTAGACACACACCACCCAAGTGGAAACGCCCTTATCATTTTCCACGAAATTTCCTGCGAGCTCTAGCATCAAACAATATAGTCCGCAGGTCCAATTTCTGAAAGGAAATACCCAGAGACGACATTTCTCCAAGTCTCGTTTGCGATCTCCGTCGACCTCGCGTCGAACACTTTGATCACCCTTGACCTTCTCCCTCTTTTGGTCCATTTTTTTCACACCGATTTTACACAGCTTCTGTAATTCACACTCAAAAGATACGTATCCGAACCAGCTATTACTCCAACATTTCAATGGTGGCATTCAAAGCATGTTCCCACACAGTTCGTCCTAGTTACCATCCAGTCGCTAATAACTGCCTTTCCCCGTGCAATCTTTCCCATCTCCAAACTCAACTTCCACTAGTTGTTAATTCCCTCGCCCCCACTCGCCATCCGTCAACCGCACTTGTCCCCTTGAATGTCCTTCTTCCTCCACAATTGCGTCGCCAATTCAAAGTACTGCATTGTCGCCTCAGTCGAGCTGTTTTGTTTCCTCCCAGGCTGACTCTCTGGCCGTGAATACGACGTAGTTTCAGAGGTTACTCTACACATTCACCCTCCCAACTGTTTCGAGCTCGTTGAAGAGGCCACTTTCCCCGCCCCGCCCCGCCCCGTCGCCGCCCACGCGCCCACCTGTTGCTCCGGCGACTGGCGCCGCATCGATCGCGCCGCCCACCCGTCGACGCGTGGGCCGCGCGCAATCTCCGCTTGAGCTCCGAATTACCGCCTACTGCCAAATTCCCTGCTCCCGGCCGCCGCCGCCGCCACCCGCGCGCGCCACGGCCGCCACAGGTGGTCGAGGGCAGATTCTTTGAAACCCTCCGCCAACTCCCAGCTTTTTGAGGAAACAAAATCGACATGGCTGTATGAACTGTGTAGTTAGTGTGTCTATTAGTTTTCGGGGTTGTCTTTAGTGAATTATAAGTGTTCATATATTGTAAAACTGTAGGGTTATAACTACCACCTGGCAATCAGCCAATTGTAGCCAAATAAATATTATTATTATTATTATTATTATTATTATTATTATTATTATTATTAGGATGAGCGTTAGTGTGCTTAGTTAAAGCCTGCAACTAAAATGTCGTAGACCGAGAAGCCCTAGGTTCGATGGATGAGAAAATATTGGGTTCAGGAGCGACAGCTAATTAGATCACTAGTCCCATTAGTTCAGTGCACGCCGACGTGGGTGACTGAGGTGGATAGAGCGAGTCCCGATGCTTTACTGCTCGAGTCGCGCCTTGGGCATGGTTGGTTGTCCCTTGTCTCTCGTGTATGTGTTATCGCGGAGGGCCTTCTGTTGTTGCCGAGAGCGTTCTGCCTACCCAAGATCAGAGGAGACTGCGAGTGTGCTGATGTCTGGTGTATAGTCTAATAAGCGTCCCATGGGGACATAAAGGGTCGTCGGTTGAAAAAAGCCCTAGGAAGAAGTTCAGTGCATATTACATAAGTTGAGATGTCGATGTTCCTCTCCCGCTTGAAAATGCGATTCGGCGCGTACCGACTCGTTCACCTTTAGGTATCTCCACGGGGGGGGGGTGCATCACTCCAGTCGGGGAGAAAGAGTGAGGTTTCGACATGTGTGGAAGTGTAGTGCATGTGTGTGTAGGGAGGAGGAGAAAACAAGGCTGAAAAACGAAACATCGCGCGTGGTACGTGGCTTCATTAAGATTGTGCTTCAGTGTGCACCTGTTGATCGAAGAAACCATGGGAAACTCAGAACAGCCACCGCTAACATTCTCCTTCAGACACAGGTTGAATGCATACGTCGATAATCCGTTACCGTCGGAACCCTATGATTTCGACGTTAACCTATACCGCCGAGGCAGCGATAGAGTTCCAGGGAAATCCACCATCGCCTGGAAGCCACCAACTATTGCAGCTGTGGATAGTAGCGGATTTTCCACACCAAGTAGTCAGACGACATCGCAGCCTGAATAACCGTTTTAGAAGCCGGATTCTGTAACAGGTCATTTCAGTTGTTTCCTCCGATCAATGCCAGGTGGATTTCGAAGCACTGCCTCAAACTGCAGTCCGTTAACTGCACGTAAACCTTCCTTCTCCATCATGACCGCACACTCATATTTAGGGCTAGGGATGGGCCTTCTCCTTATTTATAAGACTCAACCTTCACGTTCTTAAAAGTCGTAATTATATTCTTGTGTCATAAAGCGGGGATCTCAAGAATACCTTTTCTCATCATCAGGTAGACTTGGGCTACGTCTTCTTTCAAACGCGAAATTGAACATGAGAAGGTTCAAGACATAGTTCACTAATCATCCTAGATGTAAGGAAATAACTGGCACGATCGATGGTGCTAGAAGAAACTGGGAAGATCGATAGTGACAGTGAAGTGGATGAGGGAAGACATAATAATAGTTATTTATGAATCGAGGGCATTCACTAGATGTTTTTGCCCCAAGGGCGATTTCCAAAGGCGAGGGCTTTGCCCGAGGGGTTGTAAGTCGTCTGAGGGGCAAACACATCTAGTAACGCCCGTGTGCAAACAAAACTTTATGATTTACTAGTTTGTTGCTGAATCAAAAGAGAATTCGAAACATTTTATAATTTTTCTTGCGTCTACAGTGAAAAGACGCATTGTAATAGTCATTTGTCAATATGACGTCAGATAAACAAAAACAGATGTGTAATCACTTCAGCCAATGAAAATTTCAGAGATTTACGAATATTACATTCTAAATACCGTAATCTCTCTGATTTATGTCAAGTATATTATTGTATAAAATAACTAATTAAACTAATATTTGAGATAAGTCCTACTCCTCCTGATTGCATAGCTATTCTTAGATCAAATGTACCAGTTCATTATTTCAAAGATCATTACATTTTATAGGTAAACAGTTTTGGGAAAGTAAAAATGTTTTCTAATATTTTTTGTGAGAATAATGTTATGCGAATTTAAAACTAGTTTCATAATGCAAGGTTTTTTTTTTTTAAATCTTCAGGCATAATTATTTGCTGCAACAGGTAGGGCGCGACTGATTTCGGATAGCTTAATGCTCTTCCAAAATTATTATTCAGTTAATATGCATTCATTTCGAAGAAGAAATCAAAGAAATGTCAGTAGGGAGGATGGACAAAACTTGTTTGCATCCTCTTATATGATAAATACTAAATAATGTTATATACGAGTATCCCTTCCTGTTAATTTGAAGAAGGACGTCACCTTGATGTTGACGACGATCCAATGAAGCCAATACTCGCCCCGAAGCATGCCCGGGGCATCGGGATCCACCATAATGAGAGTGTAGAATGCATCCTGAAAAACGAAATATATTAAGTTCCTTTCAATAATGAGTCCAGACTGAGGAAAATACAAAATAAAAAGTTTGGCTAATTGTTCCACGCACTTAATTTCCTCTAAACTGTCGAATGATGTAAAAAGATTATATATGAAACGGGAAAAGCAGGCGAGATACCAAACGTGTCTATGTGTCCACAATTTTGTCTGACCGTCAATTTCAACTATTTCAAATGTTTGCACAGTGAAATGTTTGAAGAATTACATTATTAAAGCTAGAGGAGCTACACATTCTTTCTCGCATTTTATGTAACTGCTCCTCAATATCCTACTACATGAACCTGCAAAAGTGTTTTCAACCAGCACAAAGTTTTTACACACCGAGACTCGAACACGTGTCCTCCGAGTTAACTGCACCTTACCTCTACTGTCAACTCACTTCAAGCAGCCGCTCGGGCATAGCAAGTCGGGCCGACGCTTACAAATCTAATTATCTCAACCCAATATTTCCAATGAGCAATTTTCGGAAACTCGGAGATATTAACGACGATTATCTACACTATCCTTTTAAGGGACCCTCGTATAATACGTGGAAGAAAAATAAAGGAAAAATGTGGAACGTTTTTTGAAAAAATGCATTTTTTTTATTTTCTCATATACGTACGTATACGAAACGAAGTATACATTACGCAGATAACAAAAAGTGTTTTTTTTTCAAAGCGTCCGTTCACCTGAACTATTCTTAGGATGATTTCCAAAATAAATACCCCTTAGATTATCTGGCCTCATACAAAGCACGGCGATTTTGTATAACGTTCTTTAATTTTTGAGGGTACTTTACCTGAAGCCCCTGACGCATTTTAAACATTTTCACAAAATTGGCTTCAAATTTTTTCTTTCTTTTTCTTGTAAAAATGGAATGAAACCCACTTATAAACGTGATATATGTCCGCTTTTCACTGTTAACTCTGGATTTCGAAAACTGAGAAAGTTTGAAACATTTTCGGCGTCTTCCTACAACTACAAAACTTAAGATAGATACTTTTACTTCAAATTTAATTAAAGAAGTAATGTTGAAGAACAAATTTATGTCATACACGTGAATTGAAAATTCGAAAATTTTAGTAGTTTTTAAAAGAAATAAATATCAAAACAAACATTCTTAGAAAAAAGGTTCCAAATGTTTTCTTTTAACTCAGGGTAGGGATAGTATTAAATTAGATAAACTCTATAAGATGACATAAATGGGTTTTTGCTCTATTCTTTTGTTTTCTGAAAAATTACACAATTGTAATATTTTTGACATTTCTGTTACTTTGTTAATAGTTACATTAACGGCGATATGTATTCATTATTTAATTTGTTAAAACAAGTTGTTCAAATGATGTCCGATGACGTCTCTCTTAACATAAGTTTCCTGTGAAAATGAACCTAAAATTCTGGATTTTCATAAACGCAATTTTTCCAAAAGCGCCTCCAATTTTTGTCTTCAAACCTTTCGGACGGGTTGTGCTAAATTCACTGTATAAGATGACACAAAAGCCATTTTAATTTATTTATTACTTCTGTTTTTTTCAAAAAATTACGCAAATGTATTTCGTATTTTTAGTATTTCTTTCGCACATTTTCAGCGGTTTCTATACATCATTGCATTTGTGAGTAGAAGTGCTTCAAACGATTTCCAATGAAGTTTCTCGAAATCCCAAAAGTTTTCTGTGAAAAAGGGCTTCACATTTCACATTTACAGTAAAGATAAAAAGACATTTTCTGAAAACTGGGGACTTATTGAAGGAGAAAAACAACACATTTTTGGTATCAGTGGTATCCTAAAATAAGTATTTCCGTTGAAATCTCGAATTCGATTCTTCACAGCATTACATACGTTTCTCTATATTATGCATATTACTCCGTATATACGTACGTATACGAGAAAGTAAAAAGCTCGTCCCAATCTCCACTTTTTCTCCGCCCAACCCCAACGATTTGCGCCTCCGCAACGTTAACCGATGCCACGCGGTGGCTACTAGAGTGTAGCAAGAACACCAAGAACATCAGTAAAGCAACCCAAGCTTCCATCTACAACACCGGGAAATTATTTAGGATTACTTATTGATAAAAAATTAACATGAAAATATCATGTCTCAAAATATCAAGCAAGGCATTTATTAAAATGCTAAAAGTATATCCCATCATAAATAAAAATTCTAAAATTAACATAGAAATGTCATGACCCATCTTTTGATGCATCATTCGGCCCTCTCTGACATATGCCTGTCGAATATGGGAAGGTACAGCTCCCATCAATTTTAAAAAAAATATGTCATTCAAAATAAATTTCTTCTGTAAACATTAAAAGCTCCCTGGTTCGTTAGTAATGAACAGATACATCAAGATCTAGCTGTTGTACCGTTAAAAACTTGGGTAACTCAATTCACATAAAAATTCTATACTGACGTACCCTTATGTCCTGCAACTAACACATTTTCACTCGAAAAAACAGCCTACTCACAACCAAGAATTAAAACCCATCATACTAAAGACTTGTTACATCCTCCATAATTTGCTGATAATAATTTCAAAACACATAATCATTCAAATTATAAAAATGTAATAACTCAAATTATTAAAAGTATATAAAAAATAGAAAAAATATTGTATGTATGTTAGAGGTCCCTAAAAGGGGTAACCTCCGAAATGCTCATGTTAATTGTACAATGTAAAAAAAATGTACTTTCCATATGTATAAACTCTGTATGGAAAACAATTAGGTATGTATGAAAACCCTTGAGAGAGAAAATAAGTCGAACAAGAATTAATAAATTATCAAACAAAATTGTAAAAATCTAAGAACATCAACCATCACAAAATACGAAAGCGTATTCCACAAAAGATACATCAAGTTGAAGAACGGAATGGATGTTTTGGAACTGGCCGTTATTCAGAAGGCCCAACCCAGTAACTATTAAAGTTTTAACGCCTGGGGGTGTGAAAGATCTCCTGTTACGCGGAGATTGACCACACTTACTGGAGAAGCTTTCGGGAATCGCACCTCGGGCTGATCCTGGAACTCCTGCTTGGGCTCTTCTTGGTTGCAGTTAGCAGCGCTGATGACCACAGCACGAGACCAGCTGGTCACTTCCAGGCCGGGGACAGCACAGGCAAACGGCACCTCCTGCGGTGTGCAACAAAGCACAAGCTGGCTGCTACATCTACTGCCTTTTAGCCTCGTACGTTCTGCTTTCCGCTTTGTATCAACGTTAAAATCGGTCTTTCTTACATTATATAGGTGTTGTGGTAAGATATCTTTGGCATTTTTAAAATAATTAAAGATGTCATTGCCAACAATATTTTTTTAATTCAATAGCAGCTTTCGGTGGCTAAGCCATCGAAAGCTGCTATTGAATTAAAAAATATTGTTGGCAATGACAACATCTTTAATTACTTTCTTACATTTGTCTTTCTTGGGAAACGGAGTAAGAAATAACCTTCCAAGATGTATTAAACCTAATATTAACTGCAATTATTAACCAGACGTGACGTTTCGGAGATTCTTTCCCCACCTTCTATGGTTTACATCATAAAGTAAGGAACAAAGACAAGTCTTTTCACAGATTTTCTTCGAACCATATACCATAATTTCAAATTCAATTGATTTATTTTGAAAACAATTTCTTAAATTTTACTTATTTAATTACAAATAATACAAATTCACTTTACTTGAAATGTCTGTTTCTTCTATTTTAGATACTTCATGTGTTCCATTTGTTTGTTTGTTTTGTTTTTTAATCGTAATATTCTTTTAGAATTCTTGTAAAAGTAATTTTGTGAAATTTTACAGTATATTATATGTTAAGTTGTTAAGCACTGAAGATAACGAAATCATCCCAAGAACATGTTATGCCTAATTAATACATGAAGTTAATGTAGTCTTCCAACATTCTGAAAGATTCAATGTAGACTTCCACGTCCGGTTTCTACATATTTAGACGTTTCGGGGTTTGTAGGTCGTGGTCTAACGAAGACTGGTGCATATGTTTCGCCTGCAACTGTGGCAGTCAGTCAACGCGGTGCTGCCAAGAACACTTCGCCCCCGTCAACAACGCCACTGATGATGTCTGCCACAGTTGCTGGCGAAACGTATGGACAAGTCTCTGATAGACCACGGCCCACAAACCCGGAAACTTCTAATTATATATTCTGAAAGATTTATTTTTTTACTCCTTACCCAGAAAGTTGTCACCGGAACCATCCATACGATTTTCTAATTGCACGCACATGATCGAGAAACCGCGTGTCGAGCGAGCACGGGAGTACCCACCGTGTCGAGCGACGCCGGCGGCGGCGGTCGGCAACTCCTGGCGCTGAGGAAGCAGCGGCTGGGCGCGGGGGCGG